GGAGGAAGGAGGAGATGGAGTGGTGATTGAGCGCCTTTAACTTCCTTATTTTCCTTCCCCAATGCGATGGATTGGTTCAATGTTGAGCCTTTTTTTAAAAAATAAATAAATGTAAATATATTATTTTAATTCTTTATTTAATTAGTAAAATTATAATATTTTATTTTATTTAATTAAATAAAAAATATTACTCTTCTATCTTCTTCACTTCTATCTATTCAAATGAGATTTATATCAATCTTTTTCCTCCTTATAGAAATGCTCCCCCCTTTCCCCTTCCTTTCAGTCACCAATTTTTAGTCAAACATACTTATATACAATCATATCATATCAAGTTGGGATTAATTCAATCAAAAGAATAAAATTTAAATTAGTTAAAACTAAAAAATAAAATAAAATAATATGAAATAGTCTTTAAATTTGTTTTTCTACTTGTTTTTGGTTCTTTTATTAACATATTGGTAACTTAAGAATTACTTTCCCGTAATGACTAAGTGACTTATTAATATATATTTAACTTTTAGTAAAAGTAAGAGATTTTAAATTATAAGTAAAGTTAATTAAGAGATAAGAGACGTTACTTTTTAGTATACAATCTAATTTTTTTTTTAAAAAAAAAACTTTCTAAAAAAACTCAAAAATTTTTTGGACAATTTCTTTAATTTTGAATATTACATGAAATGTAAAAAAAATTGACAGATTTTCATCTTTGGATTAAAAATATTAATAAATCATTCATGTGTATGGATTAAAAAAATCATTCTTTAATTCTTTATTTTTTAAAAGCATGTGGATAGAAATGATCTCTTTAATAAATTAAGGTTGTGGACTTTTAGGTGGTGTCATAACTCGATTTTTCATTTAGTTTATTTAGACTTTTTCATATATATATATATATATATATATATTAATCACAAAACTAATCAAAAAAATAACAAAAAAAACACAAAAATATAAAAATATGAATTTCCTCTTTTCTTTAACTAATATATCTTCATTTTTCTTTCAGGTGCAAAAAGGGGAAATTCAAGAAGGAAATGGGAAAAGAAACTCGAGAAAGGACTCAATTGAAGGAATCAAAAGTTCGAGGGTGAAATTCATCAAAGTTGCAAACTCAACACCAACCCAATTACAAACCCAATTACCCAAAACCCAAATACTCAAACCCAAAACCCAATTACAAACCCAACTACCCAAAAACCAAATCTCCAAAAAAAAAAAAAGGGGGTTAAAAAGTCTTCGGAACCTTCTTCCTCACTAAGCTCTCTCCCAAACCAGCTTCCTCCCCAAAACAGCCGGCGCCCCCTGTTTGCCATCACCGGTAATCATGCTCCTACACCCCCCTTTTTGCATGCCTACACTCCCCGGCCTTGCTTCCTGCACCAGCCTTGCTCTGCATCAGCTCCCTTGCTCTGCACCAGATCGCCTGCACTCTGCACCAGCCATCATCGGCAATCATGCCCCTGCTGTTGCACGCCTACACCCCCCTGCTGCTACACGCCTACACCCCTACACGCCCGTGCCTTGCACTCTGCTACGCCTGCACTTGATCCTGCACTCCTGCTTTTGCCAAAAAGCCGGATCCTTTGCTTGCTGCGCGCCCCCTGCCTTCTGCAGCCCCCTGCATGTTGTTGCCAATCCTGTGTGCCTACATGCCTAGATCTGCACTCATCACCTTGCCTCTTCCCCGAACCAATCACTTGCGCCCAATCGTGCAATCCCTGGCTGCAACGCAATCGTGCAACCCGATCTGGTACTTGCTCTGGTTGTCCGATTCTCCTTGGCAGCAAGATGAAGCTCGGTCCTTGATGGTTATAAATAGAGGGTTTTGGTTAGAAGGCAAGGGGGGATTTTGCTTGTTTGAATGTAGTGTGGTGTTGACGAAGGAGAACATTTTTTTGGGAGGTCGACGGCGATTGAAAAGGAGGCTTATTTTTCTGTGTTTGTTTCCTACTTAGGTAATTTTCTAAACAGAGGAGTCCTTTTGGGGAGGCAGTGAAGGGAATGATCTGGGCTTGATCTCGTGGGTGGGATTCCCCAGATCGGACTCCGATCTGTTACCCAGAAAGCTCCACCATGCTTGTTTCTTTTGACTTCTGTTCTGTAATTTGCTTTTATGATGTTTAAGTTTGTTTGTGTTTACTGAAAATCAATGAAAAAAAAAATGTCCAATTCATTTGTCTGATGAATGTGTCTTTTATTTTTCTGTTGGTGAATATGATTTTTTTTTATGTTTTTTTTTTTTTTTTTTTTGTAATAGATGAACCCTAAGTTTCATTTTGTTGCTGTGCAGATTCTATTTCTGTTTCTGTCTTGCTTGATCTGTGTTTTTTTTATGTTGGTGAATTGTTTTGTGTTTTTGGGTCAGGTTAATCAGACCCGACCCGATCTAGTATGTCTGTCATATAAAAAAAACTAAAATAAAATGTAAATAAAATATTAATCGATTACGATAATCACTTTAATTTATGATTAATGAAATTAATTAATTTTAATTAAAGTAAATTAATTATGTTTATTGATCTTAATTTGAGACAATTAAATTTATTTAATTATCTTGATTAGAGATTAATAGATGTGATTAATTAATTTTAATTAATGTTGAATTAATCTTTCAATTTAATTGATTATTATAATTAATTAATTTCAACCTTCTTTTTTTTCTTTAATCTTCCTCAAAAGTCGAGGTTATCTCTCTTTTATTTCAATTTCATCCAAAATTTTTACGATCAAGCACTTTAGTCTAAAAGTTTCAATTTTTTTCAAATCGGTCCCTTTTTTTATTTTAATCAAATCAGTCCATTTAATTTTTATTTGTGCTTATTGTGCATATATGTCTTTTATTTTGTCCATTTTAGTCCAAAAATTAAAAAAAAAATGTTTCAATTTGGTTTATCTTTTTTTTAAGTTTTCATATTAAGACTTAAACATAAAGATAATAAATAAGTTAAATTAAAACCCCCAATGTTAAAGTATGCAACCGTATTTAAACGGAGGATTATGAGGTGCACATATATTTTTTCTGACTCCTAATCGAACCCTCAAATCTCGATCTCTGCACAGACCCGTTTTAGGTAACTTGTCTCATCTTATAATTTGAACGAGTGGCGACTTCTTTTTTTTTTATATTTTTCACACTTAATAATAATAATAATGATAAATAATAATGATTTTTCATTATTTTGAAATCTTAAGTGATCGTCAACAGGCGGATATGCAAGAAAAATGACATAAATATTCATAAAATTATTTAAATTTTTTTAATAAATTTTTTTATATGTTAATTCATTACAAATAATTACATAATTTTATAAATATTTTTACATTTTTTTACAGACTAAAAAAATATTTTTCTCTTAATAAATTGATTTGTTTTAATGATCTTGCTTTTTTTCTATGTTATTTTTTTTTTCTTTTTTACGAATGGAGTATGTTGTATTGTTTTTTTTTAATGCAGATGTTCTACTTCATTACCAAAAAAATAAAAAAGTTGTTCTCCTTTCTTCATTTCCCTCTCCCAAACCCAAATATCATGTACTAAAAATCTTTTTTATTTAATCTAATTACAATTAATTACGAATAAAAAATGTAAGACTAAAATAGAATTCTACTAAATTAATACCTACTAATTTAAAATACTTAACTTAAAGTTAAAATAAAAAATTTAAATCACTATATTTTATATTATCAAGTACTTAACCTTCCATTCCAATGTAAAAAACTAGAATAAAATAAAAGATATGTAAAAAACGAAAAAAAAAATCATCAATTTGGTTTGAACTTAAGCCAAACAGAACCGAAAGAGAAAAAGGGCGGGACTTCCACAATCCGCATATTAAAGCAAGCAAACAAACAGAAAAAACCAGCGTGTGCGCGAGAGACTCTCTAATCGCCCAATCTATTTATAACTAACGACTCTCCTAATCTCAAGAAAACCGTTTCTGCACATTTCAGTAAAGCGTTCCCCTAAAACCCTACCCTAATTTTTCATATGATAATATTGCAATTGCACCATTGCTACCTGCCACCCCGGAGGAATCGCGGACGACCCAGGATGAAGGGGCTCTTCAAGTCCAAACCCCGTACGCCGGCCGAGCTCGTCCAGCTCACGCGCGAACTCCTCATCTACGCCCAAACCAACACCGAGACCCGCCAACGCAAGCGCGCCGGGAAGGTGCTTTTTTTCATCGCTTCCTTCACAATGTTATTCCATTCTCAATTGTACAGACAGATGCTTTTCAATTTTATTGTCCTTAAAAAAAATGAAATTAAGAAGTTATTGATTTTACATGCAATTTTTCCTTTTTTAAATCAAATCCTCTGAATTAAATTAGAAACAAAAACTTTAAATTTTGGTTTGTGGCGGAGTTTTCTTTGATGCAATATAATTCTTGATATTCTAAGGAAAGTTGGTTTATTCTAAACAGGGTATGATTATGAAAGATTAGATTGCAATGCTTTAGGTTGTATTCAATATTTCAATCTAAGTAAGGAAATTTTATTTTATGCAGATGGCTATACTTGCTAATCTTATTTTGGAGATGAGAACAACCCTTTTTGGAAATGGGCAAGCAGAGCCTAGTGCAGAAGCCTGTGCCCAAGTGACTCTGGAGTTCTTTAACAATGATACGTTTCGGCTCCTAATCAACTGCCTTCCAAAATTGGATTTAGGGGTAAGGTGCACACCACTTCTTTCTTTTTTTTTCTTTCTGGAGGTGCAACTTTAAAATGATTACCTAATAGTTTAGAGTATAAAGACAGAGATCATTATTTCTTTTGGAATGCAATCAAGTCTCATGCCATATGAGCAACCTTCTTTGCAGGCCCGCCAGGATGCTACTCATGTCATTGCAAATTTGCAAAGACAACGCGTGAATTCAAAGCTAATTGCTTCTGAGTATATGGAAAATAATTTTGAGATTTTGGATATTTTGATACTTGGGTAAGATTTCTTTCATGGTCATCATAAGATGGCTGTGTTCTGCAAAGGTAATAATTTATGAGCTCTGATACTGACTGGCTGTTGGTTTGCTTAGTTATGAAGATAATGATATTGCTCTAACTTATGGTGCTATTACAAGGGAGTGCATCCGTCATCAGAGCGTTGCTAAGTAAGTATCATGATTCAGCATTTAATTGCTTTTACTTTCAAATGCGTAAGAATATCCTTAAACAGAAACAGAATTGCTGTGGTAGTCATCAACCTTGTTTGGCTTTGGGTAAATTTTTTATGTAATGAGAGCAAAATTCTCACAACTGCAGATCAGACCAACTAGCCTGTCTTGCTTATATTGCAAAACAAAAATTATGAGCTTAAAAACTGAATTGACGTAATGAATGCTTCAGTATGCCTGCTCAGAAACCTCCTCTCAACATAAATTTTATTGAAGTCTGTCCTTTGAAGAGTGTATATTAGTACTAAATGGATACTTCTCCCAGGAGCCATCTAATTTCGTTTTGCAACAGTACGAGGATACACTGTATTAAAAAAGTTAATGTTGGTCTTCTTGGTTAATTTTACAGGTACGTGCTGGAATCAGATCACATGAAGAAATTTTTTGATTATTTACAGATTCCAAATTTTGAGATAGTATCTGATGTTCAGGCAACCTTTAAAGTTAAGAGTTCTTCTTTCCTTGCTTTTGTGCAACTTGTATCCACTTCATACAGTTACTGTGTTGCATATCACTGCCATTGTCACAGAAGATGGACTTTTATTGCTGATATGGACGGATTCATAATTGAATATTGATATTGAAATAGACTATAGTGGTTCTGCAACACAGTGATATAATCCAGTGGTGAGATGCGGCTGCTTAGTGTTTTTAGTAATATCACTATGATGCAGAATTGTTGTGCCTTGCCACTTTCTCTGAGGATTTTGTATATTGCATTCTAGTACTCCAAGTTCATCACTTTTATTTGTTTCTTCTATTTTTGGAAGCAAAAGTAAGGAATAGAAAGAGCCTATAAATCATCAATAAATCTTTAATTATGATTTTTTAACCTTATATTTTCTGCTTCTATTTTTACACATGAATGCTGACACGTAGCTCTTATTTAAACAGGAACTTATGACAAGGCATAAATCTACTGTGGCTGAATTCCTTTCTAAAAATTTTGATTGGGTTAGTTTTTTTCCATGTATCATCAATGCAAACTAATATTTTATTAAAAATGTATGATATTTAAGATGCTATAACAAACTTGAGATGCATTACTATATAGTTGGTATGACCAGAGTCAAGACTATTCTTGAGACACTATATATATATATATATATATTTTTTCTGGGCGAGTACTTGAGACACTAATTGAGTGATAGATGTATACACCTGCTATCCATCGAGAACATAGTTATGGTGATATGATTTTTTTGAGAACCACTGTAGCAAGTAAGGGTTAGATATCCGATTGTTTGCAAGTGCTGCTTGCTTACAAACACTACCATGCAAAACCATAGGAAAGATAAGATAGAGGACAAGGGGTTGTCATCTGAATTTGATCTTACCGTGTAAAAAAGAATACCAACAGTTCCAGATGATAGGAATGTCCTTTGGTAGGCCCTGCTATGGAGTTCTCCAATAAATCTTTTTATGTTTTTTCTGTAATAGAACTAATTTATAATGCTGTTTGAAACAAATAATATAACAAACATGGTGTTTTCTTGGCTGTACATTCATTGATGGTTTAATGTATTATTAAGGACTTTAGTGACAGTTTAGTAGCATTTATAATGCACAGTTTATGATCACAAGTTCAGTCTTGATGTATCATTATCTGAAAATTCTTTCTATACCCTGGCTCCAGTTTTTTGAGGAATACAATTCAAAACTGCTGGAGTCTTCGAGTTACATCACCAGACGGCATGCTATTAAGGTATATCATGCTGTGGAACTAGATTCCTCTACAATGAACTATTGTCTTCCTCTTAGATTTTATCAGTGCTGATGTTGTATGTTTCGTACGCTCTCCAACGTCTTCCAGGGGCAGTTTACCTTTTTTGCTCATTTGTAAAGAATACATGCTGAACAAATATACTTTCAACGAAGAAAAACAAAACAAATTCCTTTTCTTTTAACCTAATGAACTTTCCTTCTGGATCAAAAAGAAAAGGAAACAAATTTATTCTAACAGTTATTTTTCTGACTCCCTGTGCTGTATTTGTAGCTACTTGGTGATATGTTACTCGATCGCACGAACTCTGCTGTGATGGTTCGATATGTGAGCTCTGTAGATAACATGAGGATCCTGATGAATCTTCTCAGGGTATTTCTCTCTTCTCTCGAGCACACACTTGCTGTCTGTGGTTACTTTTGGAAAACCCTTCTATTTGAATCTAATCTAACTATCCTTATTCACTGATTTGCAGGATTCAAACAAGACAATTAAATTAGAAACGTTTCATGTGTTCAAGGTATCCTATTGATCTGAGGACTTTGTTCTGCTCTAGCTATTTTTTTTGTTCAACCTTTTTGATCTTGTTTCTTCTAATTTCTTCATTACAGCTATTTGTTGCCAATCAAAATAAGCCTCCAGAGATCATCAGCGTACTTGTTACAAATAGAAGCAAGCTTCTACGATTCCTTGGCGAATTCAACATAGAAAAAGGTAGAAAACATTTTTTTTTTCTTAAATTGGTTGCAGTTTTACTTGTGAACTATATTTGTAATACTCAATTCTGCTTCGCTGCAGAGGATGACCAATTCGAAGCGGACAAATTACAAATCATCGAAGAGATTGCCACACTAGAACTCAAGGACCGTCCAGACCAGGATTCAAATAATTTTGATTCTCCAAGTTAATTCTAATTCAGTTATTTATTAGCTTAATTATTTTATGATATATGAATGGATACTCTTTGGCACCTTGCCTGTTTGTTGGCCTTCATTATTTTATTAAGGAGTTAAAGGGGATCAGTTTCTGTGTAAATAAACAGAATAGCTTGCACATTTTGTTCAGAATTCCAGTGTTGTGTTTTTCTAACAGATGTATTTAGGTTCTTTCAGCCGTTCTAATGAAACCGCGATCCATTGTTTTTCCAAATTTAAATTTGTTCTGATTGCCTCGGGGAGAAATTTGATATGACATGGTCAAGGATGATGCCAGAATTGCACTGGAATATCCCAAGCACGCTATCACCTTCTGCTGCTTTTTGGCAGCAAGGTTTTGAGCAGCTACCTTTAATCTATCTTGGGGTTAGTGGTATGGTTGTCAAAACTAATCCATCCTTGATCTGGCCAAAAAAAATAGTTATCTATACCAAAATTATAAGATAATTTATAAGAAAATTCTCATTGGCTTCCTTAAGAAATTGAGTCCTGGTCAAGCAGCTACCGTCATTGTATTTGAAGTTTAGCACTCTCCAGCCGTCGTCCAGAAAATAAGGGCACTATGATGGGGACTATATTTCCCATGCTTCCATAATGAGTTTTGCTGTCCAAAACAAGAACGTGAAAACCGTACACAAAAAGAAAAAAATTTCAAACCTTATATTTGACTAAGACAAGGCCCTAAAGTCATCCTCACATTTGTCAATAAGTCAATCTTTTCCCATTTGATTTACTTTCATTGGAAACTTCTGTTCAAAGGAGGCGATCTCGAACCACATTCCTTTGGGTCCAAAATGCCTCGGTTCATTTTTTGTACTTTTTTTTTATTTTAATTTTCCTGGTATTACGTGGGGAAGTACAGGGGATGAGGGAATAGAACAAGCAAAACTGATTTAGTCAAAATACTATATGATGTTATAAATTTATAAAATTAGTGGTATTAATTTTAATTTTTTTTAAAAATTAGAGCCTTCATCCATATTTAAAATTAAAATTAAAATTTAAAATTTAAAAATTCAATCAATTTTTAAATTTAAATATTAATATTTAATAAAATAAATTTTTAAATTTTAAATTAAATTTTAATTAAATAAAATAATATAATTTAAAATTAAAATTTTAATCTTTTTTAAAAATTAAAATTGATATGTATACTTTTTAAAAATTTATTATTATAATATAATTAATTCTTTTATTTAAAAAGTTACTTGTGATCTCACATAATTATATACTTATAATTTTATATAATATTATAAAAATAACACCGTGATAAGACAGGAGGGGAGCCAAAATTCTAACTCCAAACCTTAAGCGGGTAGCCTCCTGGGGCAAGTGGCATTGCCGCCTGCTTCAAACCGTGGGTATTCCAACACATGCGTTAGTTGAATGAAAAAGAACTATTTTTGGAATGAATGAAAAAGAAATCGATGCCAAGTAAAATAAATGGAATAGGATCTATCTACATATAACCAAAACTACAGAGTGTAATCCTCCTACAACAACACTCTGCTTTCAAAACTAAACTACAAATACAACACAACATATGGATGAGCAAAGCTCCCTCATTTATGGTGTAATACACGACCAAAAAATATAATAATTTAAACAAAGCACCTAAGAAAAGAGTAGCACAAGGCCGAACTACACATTCGGGTGTGTCCTGGCACCATATCCATTGACCCCATTGGTTCCATTCACACCGTGTGAGTGCTTGTCGTGGGCGGCTGCCCTCTTCCTCTTGATGACTATGTACCAAGTGAAGGCTTCCAACATGGCGGCATTGAAGCCCAAGAAGATGAGGATACCAATGTAGATTTTCTTCCATTTCTCGGCGGGGTCGAGGATGTCGAGACCCTTAAAGACGTTGATGATGCTAAGGATGATGGTGCTGTAGCCAATTGAATGGTGGTAAATATTCCAGTAAAGTCTGTATTTGTGATCCTTCTTTGGTCTCAAAAGCAAAGCAAACACCTGCACCAAGACACAGCCTCTAATAAGCTAAAATGAAGCGGTAAAGTGAAGGAACAAAAAGAAGCCAATATCCGTGGACCCAAGCCCCTCTGTAAAGGCTCCATAGGCGTTAAAAACATCTGGGGCACGATTGTTATCGAATTTAATTGGTTCAGTATAATCTCTTTCCAATATAAATAAGGAAAGGTATTGAATTCATTCGCATGAAGATGTGATTGATTAAGAAATTAGTAGATGGGATTGATTAAGAAAATAAAGATGGTTGCCTTTCAGATATATGTAAACTTAAAAAGAAAAGAAAAAATAAAAAAGGGAGAGGAGGGTGCCTGACCCAATTATCTTTATTCCAATAATACATTCCAAATGGTTTACCTGAAGGGTTCCAAAGATAAAGAGGACTATGCCGATGTTGCGGTGGTCACTCCAAGTGATCCCGGAGGATTCACTGCCGAGCTTAATTCCGGTAGCAAATCCGGCAACTCCAACAATATAGGCTGAAGTTTGGGTGGCGACATGCAAATAAAACCATGCCGGATCGGCAGCCTTGAACACCTTCAGGTACCTAGCCATCATAGCTCCCAAAGGCATCAGGGTTCCCCAACTGACGGCGTTCAGAACCCCATGAGTCTGCAAAATTCAACACAAAATTCTATTCAATTCTCAAACCATATTTTAATATTCAAACACAAAGAACCCAAAATTTAATTTGGGTGGCTTACGTTTCTTGTTCCGAGTCCTGAATCCGTACTTCCAGTCCCTCCGGCCTCCCCTGAGACGAAATTGATTGTCGCCATTGACTTGACGTTCTCTCCTCCTAGGGCATGACGGCCGGGGTTGGCTCCGCTCATCGGTCCTTCCTGCCAGACCTGGTTCGTCGACAAAAGGTCCTGAGACAGATGCAGAGTCGCAAAGATCG